AATATAATCAGGAGATTTTCATCCATAAGCCATAGAACAAAGGCCTCATGCCATTGTTTGTGTTCAGATTACTGAACAAATTCGGGGAATATAATTTTAATGGGTGAAGACGAATTAACCATGAATGACAGTCGGTCTCTTCTCCCAAGTAACTGGCGAAAGGACGAGAGGAAATGGCCTCAAGTTGGGCCAGGGGAGGTTTAGATTGGATGTGAGGAAAAATTTCTTTCCTGAAAGAGTGGTTAAACATTGGAACAGGCTGCCCAAGGAAGTGGGTGAGTCAACATCCCTGGAGGGATTTTGACCAGAACATGTACAAGGAGCTGAAGACTTGTAATTCTTGTAACATACAACAAAATCCATAGTACCTCATGCCTTACTCCCTCAAAAATAAAAGCTATAGATAGCAGTGGCATCGATGTTTGATTGATTTAACCAAGTACTTTGTAATTACTTGATAATGGTGTTCTGTGAGAATAAAACAGGGATAATGGCTCTAATATCATCCTGCTAAATGTTACAAAATGCAGGGTATTTATGTCTACACCCCGAAGTTCATTATGCTGACTTCATGAGAAGTTCAGTCAGTAAAACTGGCTGATGATTGGAGCCACTGCTTCCAGGGAGTATCAGCTTTAAAGGAAGCAGACCTGAATGATTAACCTAAAATACAGTAGGAAAGTTTTCTCAGTATAAAATAATTTCTGTTATTTAGAAGTAACTGCTTCAGTCCAAGCAGTGTCTATTTAAGGTACCCATCTGCATAATTTCACCGGCCTGCTGAAATTGCAAGTGCTGGTCAGCAGTTCATGTGCATCTCCAGCGAAGGTGTCATGGAGTCTTCCAACTTTATCATAATTTTGTTTTTTAAATGAATTGAATATTCTCTAACTGAAATTATGTTCTTTTTCTTTTTCATGGTTAATTTGATGTTCTTAATACGTTCAAAAAATTACCTTATTTTAACTGATTAGGCAAGGCAAGATGCACAAAGAACAAAATAGCACAACATTTTCGGCTGGTTCATTTAATGCAATCATTAGTTTGCGATTTTATAAAATTCTCTACGAATATATTAATCACTGCATGTCACTGAATAATAATTGTGTTCAAAACTGTAACTCAGAGGAGAAACTAATACTCATTTTAAAACTTGCAACCTTGTATCCAGTGCTTAAAATATAGGTAACTTCCTTTTCATGTGAAAGTCCATTGAACATGAAAGACTTAAATTTAACTCTGAACTTTTCCAGCTTAAAGTAAAAAGAAAGCAAACAACTTTCCCCTGCCCCTCAACCTTTGAGGTAGTTCTCCCAAGTAACTGGCGAAAGGACAAGAGGAAATGGCCTCAAGTTGTGCCAGGGGAGGTGTAGATTGGATGTGAGGAAAAATGTCTTTACTGAAAGAGTAATTAAACATTGGAACAGGCTGCCCAGGGGAGTGGTTGAGTCCCCATCCCTGGAAGTATTTAAAAGACGGGTAGATGAGGTGCTTAGGGACATGGTTTAGTGGGCCTGGGGGTGTTGGGTTGACGGTTGGACTCGATGATCTTGGAGGTCTCTTCCAACCTTAATGATTCTATGATTCTATGATTCTATGACAGAACTGACGGCCAGCTTTGTTCAAAGGTTCAAAACCAAACTTCGTGTAGTTGGCAGCTGGCATTTGACTTCGCTCTGATTTCTCCGAAGTTGGAAAAGGGGGAAGAAGGAAATACTTAAACCTAAAAATGAATCGCGTTTTCAGTAACAATATCAGTTTGTGCTTTTACAATACAACTGCCAGGCTGCAATCGAAGATGACTGGGTCCCAGACAGCTGCATGTCAATTGAAGAGGTAACTCTGGGCTTTAAAGCTCATTTAAATATGCCAGGTTTTATGGGGAAGCTCCAGTCTGTTCCAGAAGTTAAATTTTATTTCAGTTCTATAAAAGGAATACATAAATCTGGTAGACTTTTAAAGGAGCAATATAAAAGGAGACAGACATTCCCCAAAGGGCATGCTATTTTAATTAAATTTTATATTAACTGGAATAAAATCTCAATGTTTAGTAAATAAGTATTTTGGATTTTATGTTAAATACACAATGCCAGCACATCTCAGTGTCTTGAAAGCAACCTCTTTTCGAGCTTCCTATTTCTGATGACAATTGCAGTAAGGTCTCATGAACTTTTGAGAAACTCAGCATTTACTTCAATTCAGTTTTCCAATTTCTTTCTTTTCTGGCTTTGTTCCATTTTTCCTTCCCTCTTATTTCGGTTCCATTTCTTGTCCCTTTCACATTGTCTTGATCTCCATCATTCACTGCTATCCGTCCTCCTGTTCCTCCTTCCCAATTTTAATTCATTAACCACTTTAGCTGTTACTTCCCCATTCACCCCTGTTCCTTTTCCTGTTCTCTTGATGAGAACTTTCTTCTGTTTAAATTTCAAGCCTATTTTTTACCTCTTAATACAATTCAGATAAAATCTTAATTAAAATAAATCTTTATTCAAATACTTCACCATTTTAAGGAGGGGAACTATTGCCTTTGAAATGTCATTATTGCAAGATTATTATAATTAGATTTTAAATTATTTGTGCTGGCTCTGCTATTCAATGCTGGGCTGTTTTGCATTGTTCTGAATATGGATGCCAGATACTTTTGTTCATTGCATCCTTCCCTGGAGCTCCCTCCTCTCTAAAACTCATCAAGATTAAAATGGCACCCTAAAAGTACTTCTGCAGGTAGAATAGGAGAAATATACCGCATAAGTAAGAAACAAATAAATCACAAATCTGTGGGCACATGAGGCTGTGCAGCTACTTTAGCCTTGTGCCCACCTTTCTTCATCAGCAGCACCCCTGCCCCGAGAGGTGGTCTTAGAAATGAGCAGAGGGTGCAAGTGCATAGAGAAAATGCCTTGTTCTGCACAGAAGGCAAGTCAAAAATTAGCCCCAATTATAATGGTAAATAGCGTCTTTGTATTTGGTACCTTTCTTTTAAGTATGGGAAGTTAATTGGTTTCATACCTTTCTTCTTACAGGGTGGCATTTAGCGCCTCATTTTAACAATTAGCTTGCAAGACAATATACTTTCATTATGTATTTTCATTATTTTATCACATAGATCTTCATTAACCTTCTCTTAGTGTTTTGAATGGATGTTAATTAACGGGTTTGTTTTGCTGTTTCATGGCAACCTGTTCATCACACTAAAGCGTTCGGGGTGAATTATCATAATGAAAAACCCTCCATCACCTACTTGAAATCCAGAAGTTGCAATTCGTGTTGTTGATCTCCCTGGACTGCCTTTAAATTGGAGCTTTGATCAGAGTTGGAAGTCTCTATCTTGCCTAATAGCTGCATTACCTAATGAGAATTCAACAGAGAACATGTTTATGAGCCAGACTATGAGCACTTACATTTCAATATGCATTATGATTGCAAGCATGGAAAAAAACAGCTGACATCAAGGTACAGCTACACAAAAACAAACTTTTCTCACAAATAATTTAATTCAGTAAAGACTGAAGACGAGCTCAGAGTCAACAAGGCTGTGAGACCTGCTGAAGTCAAAGTCTTTGTGGATGCGGGCTTTGCTATTATGTGCACGGGTAAGCAACGCTTCTTTTAATTGAACAAGGCACTGGGCACCGCCCAAATCTCCCCAACAGTGGCAGGAACCAAGGGGCAAATCCTTGAAAGTGCCTGTGTGTTGCGAAGTGTTGTCCCGTTAGGGACACCTAACGGGATCCCAAGGAGAGCGGAGAGGAGCGGCTCACCCGCAATGACAGATGTTTTGGTGGCTGCAGCACTAAGCTGGCGCCTGGGGGACCCGGTTCAAAGCATCTGCCCCCCCTGCTGCATCCAGGCTGGGGTGTGCGTCCCCGGCTCTGCGCAGCCCCGCGCTCTCTAGGCTGCGGGGTGTCCCAGGTACCTGGTCCTCTCCCACACTTCTTTGGTTGGAGATGCGCCCTTTCACAGGATCTTTCGTGGTTGGGGCGAGGGGAAGAGAGACTGCTTCAGCCACATGACCCACGGGCTGAGGGCCCTCAGCTGGGATGCAGAGAACAAGATGGACTCACGAAGTGAAACCAAGCACCCCGCGTCCTGTGGGGACGGACACACTTGCGCTCCCCTTTGGCAGTGGTGGCCTGACTGTGCCGGGCACTACGGGCAGGAAAAGCTGGAAACATCTTGTCTGAGAGTTGTTATTTCAGACCTTGGAAGGTCTGGCAAGCCAGGGCCCTGACCTGCTGGTCCTTCATCTACAAATACCTGTCTCTGAACATCACAATTAGTGTGAAAGTGCGATGCCAAGGGCTCCCGATGCATGAGATGCAGTGCAGTGGAGCGGCTCGGAATCTCTGTGGATGCTCCAGCAACTGTATCCGCTCTTTCAAGAGAAGTTGGATGTCCATGTGCCTCCAGAAGATGGAGTGCAAGGGACTCATGAGACTGGAAGCCACCAGAAACACATTTCTCGTATGACCTCACCCCCCAGGAGTTTTCCCTGTGTGACCTGGGTTATGTTACCTGCTGCTGCAAGTAGACACTTGATCTTGAAGGGCAGTCTGATGCCAGGGATGAGGGACTCAGCCTGCCTACCCCCGGTTAGCAAATTGAAAGGGATGTGAAATCCCAGCAGTTTTCTTCAGAGATTTTACACCAAATGAGCACAAAAAATCCCTGGCGAGGAGATGCCACCACCTGTTCGGTAGCCATGGCACATCAATGTCAAAAAGGTGCCACTGAAGTCTCATTACATTCACTTGGTACCTGCTTCCTTTACAGCAACAGACGACTCCTTTTCAGAAATCCTTTCCTTTCTTCTTTCCTGTAGTCACATGAGAATAACTTTTTCCCTTTTCAGCTGAGGAATTTTCTTCTGCATCCTGCTCAGTGTCTGCCCTGACTTATTTTTACATGATTCTGTGTACCATTTTGTGTGATTCTGATGCACATACCTGCTCCATTCCCCATTTCCAGGTGAAGAAGAACATTTTTCATAGGTATCCAAGGAGACAGATATCCAAACAGTATCTTTTAACAGAGTTCCAGGTAAAATATCATTGTTTAAGTTCTGTCATGAGTAATTTTTCCTTGGAGAAGAGTACCTTGGGTAGGCAAGGTACACAATGACTGGCACTGTGCCTTGTGCAGCAGAAGATGCAGTCAAAATACAGTAATGAGCTTATATTCAATACCAGAGTGCATGAGAAACCGAAGGTCCCATATCAGCTCAATCCTGGCGGGCACGGGCCACGTCTAGTTTGGAGCAGGAGCAGAGAGCCATCACGCCACAGGTTTAGAAAGCTGAATTTTCCAGTACAGCTGGATTCTTGTAAAATATTACTGCTAACACTCCTGATGCTGCTAGAGGCTCCAAAACTGCTACTGAGCGTAGACAACCTCTCGCAAGGAAAGGCCAGCGGTAAGGAATGATGAGCAGTAACAGTTGTTATCCGCTGTTTGCTTACCCACTCCATGGAGAAAAAAAACACTCTCACACAAAACACCATTTTCCAAAACTTTTTCAGTGTTAGAGTTTCAAAAGCCTTTGCAATACTGCCAACATTAATATAGAATTAGATACATGCTATTAGATGCCTCCTTGCCACCACCTTAAAACTAAAGAAAAGCCAGCGGAGTTAGAGGGCCTTTTTTAGATCCAAAATGCTTGTAACTGAAATTTCCAGATGCACTTGAATATAAATCATACTGAGAAACAGGGATGAGTCATTTATGATCTGAGGATCCCCAAATCCTAAAATATATTTATTATCTGTTATTACCTTACATCTATGATAAACGCCACTACCAGATGCAGATCAGTGACGAGTGGCGTCCCGCAGGGGTCTGTATTGGGACTGGTACTGTTTAATGTCTTCATCAATGACAGACAGTGGGACTAAGAGTGCACCCTCAGCAAGTTTGCAGATGACACCAAGCTGAGTGGTGCGGTCGACATGCCAGAGGGACGGGATGCCATCCAGAGGGACCTGGACAAGCTCGAGAAGTGGGCCCCTGTGAACCTCATGAGGTTTAACAAGGCCAAGTGCAAGGTCCTGCCCCTGGGTCGGGGCAACCCCCGCTATCAATACAGGCTGGGGGACGAAGGGATGGAGAGCAGCCCTGCTGAGAAGGACTTGGGGGTACTGGGGGATGAAAAGCTGGACGTGAGCCAGCAATGTGCGCTCGCAGCCCAGAAGGCCAACCCTATCCTGGGCTGCATCCAAAGCAGCGTGGCCAGCAGGTCGAGGGAGGGGATTCTGCCCCTCTGCTCTGCTCTGGTGAGACCCCCCCTGGAGCACTGCGTCCAGCGCTGGAGCCCTCGGCATAAGACAGACACGGACCTGTTGGAGCGGGTCCAGAGGAGTTCACGAAAATGACAAGGGGGATGGAACACCTCTCCTGTGAAGAAAGGCTGGGAGAGTTGGGGTTGTTCAGCCTAGAGAAGAGAAGGCTTCGGGGAGACCTTATTGCAGCCTGTCAGTGCTTCAAGGGGGCTTATAAAAAAAGATGGGGGCAAACTTTTTAGCAGGGCCTGCAGCGATAGGACAAGGGTTAAAAGGGACAAGGGGTTTTAAACTAAAAAAGGGTAGGTTTAGACTAGATATAAGGAAGAACTTTTTTATGCTGAGGGTGGTGAAACACTGGCAGAGGTTGCCCAGAGAGGTGGTGGATGCCCCGTCCCTGGAAACATTCCAGGTCAGGTTGGACGGGGCTCTGAGCATCCTGATCGAGTGGAAGATGTCCCTGCCCACGGCAGGGAGGGTGGACTAGATGATCTTTAGAGGTCCCTTCCAACCCAAACCATTCTGTGATTCTATGATTCTATGATTCCACAGTATCATGGAAAACTTATTTTTTTATTAAAAATCCTGACATATTGTATAAATACCATATCAGTCTTTAATATTGGTCAGTAATTAGGAAAAGAAGCTATATCTATATATGCATAGTCACCACTCACCAGGTATTATACTGTAGGCTTCTCTACTCACCTTCTTCTCAAAATCACCAACACAGTTTTTGAGGGCAGAGTGAAGGCCATAAATCTCTTTATCAGTCTTCTGGGCCTCACGCCTGATAATACTGATGTCTCCCGACAGCTTTGCAATGCTTGCCTCGCATCTGCAGTCAAACCAGAGACAAGAGAGCCTCTGCAGGGGGATGCTGGAGGGTGGCTGAAGGCTGATGCTGGTCTCCGTGCGCTGCTGCCAGATCAAATCCAGCCCCCCGGGACCACCCCGGCGAGTAGCAAATAGGCAGAGACACCCCATTGAAGCAACCCCGATCCCCATTCTGCTTTCAGAAATTGCTGCTGGAGGTAATGGCGAGGAAGCGGGCGGCAGCCAGAGGCAATGCCCTCGGCTGCGGCAGCGATGCCCGTAGGCTCCTCGTACCACAAACCTCCTCGTGGTGCCTGCAGGCTCCAGGGGAGCTGCAGGAGCCGTCCGCAGCTCGCCCTGCCCGGCTGAGGCCCCCCCCCCCCCCGCTTCCCACCTC